CTTTCACAGAAACTAAATTTATGCAGAAAACCACAAATGATGTTGACTCACTTTCTAGTTTAGCAAGTGTTTAGTAACTTGCTGAGAGGAAAAGTAAACAGCACTGTTGGTTTGTGTGGGAAGAGCCGAAGGGATTTCCGTGGTGTTGCTCCATTAATGTTTTTTAATCATCCAAAAAAATCCCTTCTGACAAGGTTTTATTTTTTGACAGGCTTCTGATCGTACACAAAATTTCACCTCCTAAACTTGCTGGTTGCATTTTCCCAGGCCTGTGTGCCCCAGAGAGTGGCCTGACCTCCAGCTGAGCTCATCCCCAGCAGGACCGGGAGTTCCAGGCACAGGATGTCACCAAGTGCCTTCATCGATATTCTGATCAATAAATGCCCAAAGAATGCCAGGTAAGGAGACCTTCACATGCTTGGTTGTGTTCCATGAGTCAGTGTTTGCTTGGCTGGATGACTCCAGGCATATTTTTGGCAACTCAGTGGTCAGCCCGTGCTTTAACAGTTCCACACCAGCACATCAGGATTGGGATTTTCTTGGCAATTTATACATGAGTGAACCTTTAGGAGAAAGAAAGCAGGGAATAACCTGGGCATGAGAGGACAGCCACCTGCAAAGATTTGCTCTGAAAGCCTTTGGGAGGTGAGTTAAAGCAGAGAGGAGAGTTGCCAGGTGAGAACTCAAGGTCAGGTGAGGAACCCCGGGCTGTTTACCCCAAACTCCTGGGTTTGCCCAGGGCCTTGCACAATGGGAGGTGAGCAGGGCTCAGACATCAGAGCTCTACTGTGATGCAAATCAGATTTTCCAGTCAGTGGGATTCACAATTGGGAGTAAGAGCAGCCAGTTCATTGGGGATAAGGTTGTGGAGCTTTTAAACCAGGGCTGTAGAACCACAAAAACCAAAGACAACCACAGCAAACACCAAGGGAAGGTGAAGGTCACAGGATCACGTTGTCAATGGTCCTGAATCAGCACCTCAGTTTTGTGGAAATGGGTTATAGAGGCTTTTACTGCTGAGTTCACATCCCACCCTTCCCAAACAAAGCAATCACTGACTTTTTACTGCCTGAACAGGTGCTGGCAGGTTCTCTCAAAAAAACCTCAATCACTTCTGAGTGGACTGATACCATCCCTGAAAGGCTTTCAGTCATGGCACCAAGATGAAGGGGAGAAAAAAGATTTTAAAAATAAAATGAAATTTAAAAAATCCAGCCCTCGGTGGCTACAGCTGCCTCACATCCAGCACTCAGCAGTGTTCATCCCTTCTTCTGTTGAATCCTAACTAATAATTAGTCTGAGTTTTGCAAGAGTTCCAGTGAGTTCCTGGTGTCTATGAACAAAGACAGGATCTGTGTTTTCTATCAAGTCCTTATCTCAGTTGTGGTTTAGAAAGGTGGATGGTATCAGTGAAGTAGAACAGGATATAAATTCAGCATTTCATAAGAAAAAGGTCCTTAAAGCTGTTAAACCTTAAACAATGACCTAATTAAACATTCAAGAACGCCTGAGCAAACAGTGAATTAATGTTTATTGTGAATTAGATACATTTTTGGTTGGCAGCAATGGAACATTGGAGAACAGGACCTTTTGTGTAGATACTGCTCAGGAGGGACCTTCCCCAGTGTCACTTACAAGGAAAATTTGCCTTTGGATTTTATCTGAGTCAGGTGTGATTCCTCCCTACGTGTGGGGACCTTATTATGTGACAATAGTTCTTTTTTTCCCCTGAGCTTTAGGGCTTTATTTCTGAAGCAAGAAGGAAAGATACTTGTCACATCCAGTCAGTTGTCTGTGGTCTTAGGCATGATTAGGCCCTAAGGTATGTTGTCTAGTCTGGTCTTAATTGTCTGAGTGGCTCCTGCCACTTCCCTTAGGAGGCTGTTCCACAGTCTATTAGCCATCACCATCAGGAAATGTTTCCTGTGGAACAGCTTACGTTTTCCACTTGCTTATCTGCATCCCTTCACTCCTAGAAATATGACTGAACCACCCTAAACAATTCTTTTCCCTCCCTGGTGTTTACAGCATTCAAGTAGTTCCCTGCTAATCTGTAATTCCTGTTCTTGCTTCATCCATCCTTTGTCCCATCTCTTGACACCATTTCAACTTCCAAATCCTTCATCCCTCTTTGTCTTACCTCCCTTTCTTACAGAGCCTGAGTACCTGTCAGATCCCACCCTGCTCTCCTCTCACCTGACTGCTCTTTCAGTCAAACCTCCTCAGCTCACCCAGTTTCTTTCCTGTCATTTATTTTGTTGCCTGGAGAAATGCAGCACAAAGTGGGTCTTTCAGTGTTTCAATGTTTATTTTCTGTTTCTTTGTTTTTATAGCTGAGGTGCTGAAATAATTACAGTGATATATATATATATACACACACCCCTGGACCTACAGTTACTGTATTATCAACTATATTTTGCTTTTACCTTGTGTTATGAATCCTTGATTTAAGTAGTGATGTACCACACCATAGTTATCACATTGACTTTACAGGTTTAATTTAGAGTAGGGCTGAACTGTGCTGAAGGCCTCCTCTTCCTCCCCAGAGTTCAGGACAGTTAAATTTAGGGAGTCTCTCCTGGCAAGCGAGCAATCCTACTTATCTCTGTTTCTTCCTTGTCAAACTTACAACTGGTTTCCTGACCAAAGCCGTTTTCTTGGCACCGGGAATAGCTGGAAAACAATACAATTACGTATTGTTTTCATTTCATTGTAAACGTTTTCAATTGTTTTAGCTATCAGGCCTCGTTTGGAAGCTCCAGGCAGAAAATTCCCCCCGTGGAGAACTCCCTCTTCTGTTCAGCCGGGCAGGCGGACGGACAGCGCTGCTGGCTGGGAGCCAGGCTGGGAGCAGCTGCCAAGCCGCTATTGTGTGATCTAGGAAAAGACCCTTAAGCTCTTTGGACCGTGCTCAGATTGCCTGAATTCCATAAAAGTTCCTAAATCTACTTTGTCCTACTTGTTGCCTGTTTGCTGCCCTGCTTGGACCCACGGAGCCCGATCTCGGAGTCAGTGCCATGGGACAGGTGTGTTCTGGGGGCTCAAAATGCCCTCTTAACTTGTTCACATGCACAAAAGACTCACTAGAACAGGTCTTGTCCCTCTGACAAGGTGGCTGAAAGTCATGAATTTTACATTTGACAGCTATTTTTATTAACTGGATTTAATCTCTTGAAGCGCGAATGACTTTTATGCCGCGAGCAGCCTGAAGGAGTGGGACAGCAAGAATATCCTGTGCTGCTCTTTAGTTCCAATCCCTTCTCCCTTTCACTGACTGACTCCTTTGTTTGTCCCTTTAGCCTCTTGTCACCCTTTCAGCCACGTCCTGGCTGACCATTCCCTGTTCTCTGGGACACACAGATCAGTGCTCCCGCTGCACTGCTCCCTTTCAGGCTGCCCTCGGTGCCAGAGCTCTCCTTACTGCTCTATAGTCCACAGTTTTCAAATCCATCCCAAAACCTGCTGTCACCTCTGCAGCCTTTTCCTTGGAAGTGGCAAAAGCTGGTTTTGCACGTGATGTATTTTTAGCTTTGGTTTGTGTTGAGCTCGTCCTAATTTTAGCTGGCTTTGTAAAACTTACTATTTTTAGGACAAAAGACAAAACAACTTAAAAGCAGTTGTTATCTGTCTTTGTAATTAATGAGAATGCTGACCACAAGCTCAGCATGTATAGATAAGCCTATTTATACATTCTTAAGTGTTACACATCCTCAGGAAGCCCCAATCAGCCACTTTGACAGACAAAATCAGTTCCAAGTGCTTACTCCTGAATTTGTGTATCCTAACAGTGTTTATCATCATCCATTGCTCTTCTCTTCACTTTTACCTGGAATTCTGTTTTTCATAATTATATATATCTTTATGCATGTACATTCCAAGGTATTTAAAGGAGATTTAGCCTTGAAAATGAGCTTTATTGGAGTGGTGAAACATTACAAGTCACCACATCTGATTTGAGCACAGTGTTTATAGTTTGCACGTGTACACATAAATCACATGTACACATAAATCACTGGCTCAGTGAGGTCTTTGTAACACACATAAACTAAAGCAAAAACCCAGAGGGTGAAGGATTCTAACTGTGCCTTAATAACATCTGCAAACTATTTCCTTTGTGTCAGAGCCAGGAGAACGTTTTTAGCTGTGACCTGTGATACTGGGGTAGCCTCTGTCATAGATCTGTGTCCTCATAAATGTGCTGTACAAAGACAGAAGCTGGTCTTTAACAAAAAAAGGAGTATCCAGGGCTAAGGTGATTGGCCTCTGTGAGGGATTTTGCCTTGCTTTGTTTCGTAAAAATATGATTCAGAATTTTTCTGAAGTATTTTTAAAACTGAATTCCAACAACCCCCTTTGTGGCTTTACTGTCCTCTTGCAGTCTTTTATGCTGAGTTTATAATGACTGATCTTATGGCTAAAAATATAACTAAAAATCTAATAACAGGCCATTAGATATATTCTGCAACATAACAAAGCATCTCCTGCAGTGCCAAAAACAGGGGGAAAAAAAAGCCTGTTCCTGTGGAGACAGACACTGGACTTTGCAGCATGTCCTGAACACCTAAAGGCTCTTGCTGATTATTTGGGTAGCTGAGAGAAAAGTGTCTCACAGCAGCACCTGTCTCTGAAAATGCTTTTCTGATTCCAATCTTCAAGATCTCAGTGTAAGAGCCAGGAGAAAAGGTGGCTCCAGTTTTCTTAAGAGTCACAGTGCCCAGCTGGGGATGTTCCAGTCCTTATGCTGATATCTTTGCTGTAGGAGAAAGGAGAGTATTTATTTCTTAAGCTGGGGTCATGTCACTTGTCACCTGGGTGTGGCTGCTGTGTGGGGCTTCTGCCACACTCCTGTCCTTCCCCCAGAGCTGAAGGGCAGCAGGACAGAGCCCTGGAATCTTGGATGCTGGTGGAGGAGGAGGTGATGCAGCACATTGCAGTCCTGCATGAGGTCAGCTCCAGCCTGTTCACACAAATTGATGAGTCTGGAGTGTTCTCCTGCTCCTCAGGCTGATCCCTAAATGCAGCATTAGTAATGTGACTGGGGCCACTGTGTCCCTGGAAAACTGCCCATTCCTGACGTGTCACCAGGAGCAGGCTGCCAGGCAGGGAACAAAGAGGCTGGATTGGCAGTTGGGATGCCCTTGGATGCATCAGCTGAGTAAAAACCTGCCTGCTCAAGAGCCTTGATGCCCATTGAGGCACCTCATATCCATGTGCTGCCTCAGGCACAGCATGGATCAAACAGAGCAGGATTCACCCTGGTGGGTGAGGGTGGGGGCAGTGTGGGATTCATTCCCGAGGGAGGCAGCAGAGGTGGCCTTCAAACCCTTCCATGGGTAATTCTTTGAGGGCAGGTTGGGATCTGTGATGAATGTGGATCTCAGCAAGCCGTGTCTGCACAGCACACATCCTTCCCAACCCCATGCAGACTGCTGGGAAGGGCTTCGAGGCTCTCCTGGTCTCACACAAAGTCAGCCAGTTGTGCACCACAGATATATCTTGATGTCACACCTGGCAGGCTGCAGAAATGTGAGAAATCCCATATATGACTCTCCTACTGTCTCAGAACTGCTTTTTGGCATCCTGCCAGTGATACACAGGGCTGTTCTCTGCCTGCTGGGCTTGGTTCTCTGTCCCCCAAAATGAAGCAGGGGGAGTCCCTTGCTCTCAGTGCACCCCCAGCATCCTGACAAAATCCCAAGCACACAGGGGAGCTGACTGTCATGACAATCCTCAGATAAACCTTTACATCTGTTTGGGCAGCCTGAAAGTTGCCAGGGAGGAAGAGAAGAAAGCCCTAAGCATAAAGACCCTTCCTTGAGATCAGAAGCATGTCTGCACTGAGATAGTCAAGCAGCCACTTTGGGATAATGCCAGTGATAGCTTGTCAGCTGTATCTACTCATGTGCTGGGTTAGAGTGGTGGAGAGAGGGAAATTCAGGCAATCCATACCTCCTAAAGCACCTGTGGATCACTGCCTAAAGCAGCTATGACTTACTGCCTGTTCTCTCTGTTCCAGGTCTTGCACTGCAATTATTATTATTCTTCTTTCTTAATCAACTGAAAATGCAGCTTTTCATCCCAGAGTGTGCCTTAAGTGCAGCAGCATCCCAACTTTGCCAACCCTCAAACGGATTTGGGATGCAACCACCAATGTGTGTGCAGTCCACACCATTAGAGCTGGAAAGGGAAGAAGTTACAGCATCTCTTTTTGTGCTGTTCGTGGGGCTTTTGGGTGTCTTTTGAACGTGAATGGCCCTGAGGAAGCCCCAGAGTGAGAGCTGACGTCCATATCCGCATGGTTATGTAAATTTTATGTTCCTCAAAGTTGAAAGTATGTGAGCAGAAATATAGAAAATTAGAGGAATCATGTTCTATCAGGCAACAATCTGTTGGAGCACCAGAGCATGGACTGTGGGAGATTGTCTCCTCATGGCTGAGCCCTGCTCTGTGATAAAGTAAAAAGTTAAAATGTGCTGGGGTTCATTCCATTCCTCTTGAAGAAAATTATTTTCAGTAACACCTGGAGCTTGCTCTAACCCCACCTGAAAGCTGCTGGATGGATGGATGGATGGATATTCCTGCTCTCTGAATGGTCCTGGAATGAATCCACCATTAATAAAACCTCTCTCAAATATTGGGAACTTTCCTGCTGGAATTTGCAGACCTTTGGCCTCTCTTATGCCCAACAGCAGCACCAGATCCCTGGGCTCTCAAAGGAATCAAACCAGCCACCTGAGGTGCAGCAGTGCAGCTGGTAAAGGAATATACTGAGACCTGTATAAGTCAGTGGATGTGAGGCTGGACAGAGCTTTAAGGGAGAGGGTTTCTCTTCCAGGTGAGGTGAGTGCACCTTTGTGCCCTGGTTTTCCTCTTGTAGAATGGGGATAATGAACTTTCCTTCCTTACAAAACCCTGGAAGGGCTATTAGTACTAATTTTAAAAGCCAGGTGCTTTGATATTAAGACAGGTCAAGGCTGAAAGCAATTTGAAAGATTAGCAATCAGTCATTTGCCTGTTTAAGTGTGGGGAGTGATGAACTGCCCAGATTAGAACAGCCCAGGTGGAGGTGAGTTAAATGAGCTGGTCTGAAAAGGGGCAAGATGGAAGGGAAATGCTTGTTTTTTTTAAAAAAAAGATACCTTCTGAGTGTAACAAGAAGTAATTGATTCTCAGAAGTTGAGGTTTCTTGAAATGTGCAGCCTTTAACTTAGCATAATGTATCCTGTGAAGCTTCTACTTCAGGAAAAGTTTAGAAAAGGTGTAGGTTCCTTTTGTGCTAATAACTGTGTAGTTTGGCTCTACACTTGGGGAAAAAAGTGGAATTAATCAGGATTAGGGCAAAAAAACCACCCACAAAATGTTATATGCATCCCCTATATTACTTCCATCTGCTAAAGCATTAATTATTAACACTTATCTAATATAAAGTCACAATGGTTTTCTAGATAGTCATTCAAGTTTCCGTAATACATCCCTTAACAGAGCAGCAAATTTAGCAAAGTGTTAATCAGTCAGTGACAAATAGCAAGCAAACACTCGTTGTAGACTTTGGAAAAGCAAAGGCTGTTTGTGTTTGTGTTTGTGTTTACCTGTACCACGGGTGGAAACCTCTGGAGAGAGAACAGAACACTGAGGAAACAGGGAAATAGGGACTAAAGGAGAGGGAAGGTATCGGGACTCTCAGGTAAGAGCCTGGAAAAGGCAGGTTACTGAGCCATGGAGAATTAATTAAGAACAGAGAACTAAAATCAGGGAAAACCCCTCAGTTTCCCCAGTGCTCAGACTGGGCTCCTTAAGGCACTTTGTGCACCTCTGTTACCCCAAGTCTCTGAACCTTGATCTGCTTTAAAAGCATCTCCCTTCAGCCGCCGTCAGTGCTTCCCCCCGACACCTCTGATAACACCAGGGCTCTCTTTCCCTCCCTGCACTCTGGTCTAGTTTAGTGCAAACAATAGACCCTTCTTTGCTTTGAAGAGCTGCAGGGTTTAATTTTGGGGCTGTGTGCCTGGATGTGCATAGGAAGGGGGATTTATTCAATGTTACAGCATCGCTGATTAAATAGAAGCGTAAAAATGCCTTCTGCATTTTTCAATACTAATTATAGATCACTGTTTAATCGAGCCATCTAAGTGCTCAGTGTACTTATGGTGCCCAGGGAGCAAAAATAGATGGGGCTGCTGGGCTGATGCAGCAAAGACATATTGTTCACTCTCCCTCAGCAGAATTTCACCTTATATCATAAACAGCAACGCAGTAGTAGTGGAAAACCAAAACAAGCTATTTGCTTTAAGTTTTAAGGAGTTTTACAGGGAAAGAAATCATGTTTCGATATAAATGCACATGTATAATTAACTGTAGAGATCTAGTCAAACCTCATTGATTTTCCTTGGAAGAGGAAGGCAGATAGAATCTCTAAAGTTGAAAAAAAAAAACCAAAACAACCCAAAAGCACTCATTCATTCATGAGAAAAGCCTATACTAGATATTTTACCCCAAATAATAAAACACAGAGAAATAAATAAATCATTGTTCATTTACCATATGGAAGAAGCAGAAAGCCTGTGCTGTGTGTCCTGACACCCAGAAACAAATCAGAAATCAGAGTAACCTTAACACAGGGTTAGAAAGAGCAGGCAAGGACTTACCTACTGCCTCTGTCTTGAGAATGTGCAGAGAGAACAGAGCAAGGAACAGCAATTCCATTCTCTGTTTTAAACAGGCTCAGTGTTGGAACCAGAATTGATTAGACTCCTCGGGATGTGATCATATTTCTGCTCTCAGTTTTATACTGGAGTAAGTACTCCAGGACAGACCTGAAAGCCATGGCAGGAAGGTGAACTCCTCCCCTTTGTAATTTCTCCAGATTTACCCTGCTCCTGATTTGCCTAAATTTATTCATTCTCCAAAATGAATGGCAAAGGGAATGAGGCTCTTTGGCACTGAGCCTTCAGTGAATAACTGAGACTTTGCAACCTGTGCATTTTTAGTGACCTCTTACTGAAATGCTACGTTTTTATTTAGTGGTAGTTTTTTTCCTGATAGCCCCCATGACATTTGATTAATATGTGTGTTAAAGTTGGTGTTTTCTTTAAAAAAAACCCTATGAAACAAATAAAGCCCCAACTGCCCCCATCCCCACCCCACAGCCCTGCAAACAGCTCCTCAGGATTGCAGTAGATTAGAGGGACTGGAAAATGGGAATTCTGTGTGCAGTGACAGGAAATGTTTATTAGGTGACATGCAGCACCTTACTTACTTAATTAAGGAATGGTACTTTTTTTAATTATCCTTTTTCTTAACTTTCTGCTTCTGCTACTATAGTATAATATATACAGATATTTTTTTCTGTCCTCTTTCCTATCTGATTTTTTCAATTCCATGTGCCTGATTCAGTGGCAGCTCAGACTGTTTGTTCAACAAACAGAAAAGCGACACAACCACTTTTTGCTCTGCTATAGACACTGTGTCATCTTTTAATTTGGGTTTGGATTTTGATACAGCTGAGGAAAACAAATGAGGGAGTGAAACAACTTCTTCCCCTTCCCCAGATGCTTCTCTGTCCACGCTGGGTTGGGTGGGAGAAGAGCAGGATGCCCGACCCAGAGCTTCTCCCTGAAGGGGTGGATGGAGCGAAGCGATGCCGTGCCAGCAGATCTGAGCATGCAGAGTCATCCAGCAAGGGCTGAATTAAAAAACGAGGAGCCAAGAAAGTGCTTTTTGCCTTCCCCAAGAGCTGCAGCTCCCAGGGCAAGGCTGTGCTGTCAGCAGAAGGGTGGCACGGGCTCAGGACCTGCAATAACACCGGCACAGCTGACTCACGAGCAGCTCTTTTATTCATAAAAAAACCGGCTATAAATAACCCCCCAACAATGAAGAGCTGTTGGGGAGTGTTTTTCCATCCTGCTCTAGGCAGTTAGAGCCTGCACAGAGGATGATTTGCCTAGCACATGGTGATAAGATAAATAGTTGCTGCAGTGACAAGAACAATAAGGGAATTAGTGGCATTTTTTCACTTCCGAGC